CATCAAATCCCTCTCCCCTTCAGTTCAGCGCGAAGTCGCGGGGCTGACGCTAGGATTTCCTTCAGGGTCATGAGGTCATTATGCCCTTCCAGCAGTCGGTCAATCACTTTCTCTACGTCAAATCCCTCTTCCAACCGGACCGCGTATTTCTTCTTTTTGGGCGGTCCGTCATGTATGACCGGTTCGGCCTCTCCCCTGGTTCCCTTTTTCGTTGCCCGCTGCTCCGCTCTCTGATCCTCTTCTCTGTGCAGCCTCTCGTCCTCTTCCTCTTCATCATCGTCGTCCTCTACTTCCACAACCTCTTTCCTTCTCCCTGGTTCGGGTTCCCTGCTTGGAGGCTCTTGGCTGGCAATGGCCTTGGCTTGATTCCTCGTTCTCGCTGCCTATGTCAGCCGGGCCTGCGGAGTAAGGGGTCTCCCCCTCATTCCCGATTGTGGGCACGACCCCACCACATTTACTCCGGGTCGCCCAGGCGCTGACTCCAGGCCGGAGTCATAGAGGAATCTTGTGGGGATGTTAGACTTTCATCCCTTCACTTCCTCACAGAGGCCCACCAACTTCTGTTGGTACCTCCCCATCTTATCCAGCAAGTCCTCCATCTTCTCAAATAAGACGGATGGAGGCTCCGTTCTTTCCTCCTCATCCTCGTCATCTGACTCGATGATGGCCTCTTCCGTCTCACTTTCTCCTCGTAGCCCTTGAGTCACTTCCTCATCACTTCCTACTTCTTCCACCCCAATTGGTGGTTCCTCCTTTTCTTGCCATAGCCTGAACATGGCAGGGGGTGGCGGCCCAGCTGCCGCTCTTCGTTGGGCTTCAGCCCTCACTCCTCCAAGCCTTCGGTCAATGGCCTCCCCAAACTGATCGTAGATATTCCCATCCATAATGGAGGAAATCAGTCCGCTTCTCTCGTCTTCCCATCTTATATTACAGAACCTTATAGTGTGGCCTTGCTGATCACAATATTGATAGATGGCCGTCCTCCAGTCAAAACGGGGTCTTCCATACCACTTACTTCCCTGATCCCCCTGGCCTGAATCCCCCTGGCCTTGATACCCCTGGACTTGGTACCCCTAGCCTTGACTCCCTTGGCCTTGGTACCCCTGGCCTTGACTCCCTTGGCCTTGGTACCCCTGGACTTGGCCATTCCATTGCCTTTCTCTTCCGCTGCCATTCTTGCCTCGCCCCCTTCCTCCACCCCTCCCTCCGTTGCCTTGATTGCCCTGCCCCTGGTTCCCACCTCCTACAGCACTGCCCTTTGAACTCGGATCAGGTGACAGTGGTGGGGCCACAGGTTGGGCCTGGGCCACGGGGTAGATGGGTGGTGGCATACTCGTTTGCGGTCCGGCTACTGGCGGCGGGCTTCCCCATGGCACAATTGCATTGATCACCGGCAAGGGCCACTGTCCGTAGGAGGGCGCCCCACCTTGCGAGGGGCCCGTACTAGATGATGGAGCCGCCACATTTAAAGAGGCTGCTGCCTGGGCCTGAGGCGCCTGCACTTTTCCTGATCCCTGTCCGCCCTGCGCCAAATTACGCACTTTGCGCTAGACCTTCGTCAGGTGCTGCGGCAGCGGCTCTTCCTCTTCCCAGAGCTCCTCCTGAACAGCCTCCTCTATCACTGGCTCATTTCCTTATACTTTAACAGTCGTCACCACCCTCCTTTGCACCACCGGCTCTGTTGCATACCCTAGCTGTGCCAATACGTCTGTAACAATCCTTGTTAACCCCGGGGTCCCAGAAGCGGCCGCATCTCTTTCCTTTCTCTTCTGCCTTTGCAGGCGTACCTGACGTTGTTCCACCTGGTCCAAGCACCCAACTTCCACCCCTCTGTCAATGGTGGCCCAGGTGAGCTTAGTGCTACCTCCTCCATGTCTCGTCAACTCAACGGCCTCCGACGCTGTGAGTAACCACAGGAAAACGGCGCACTATGCTTCCTCCGAAATCCCATGCACCTTCATCGCCCTTTTCTTAAATTCTTGAACAAAGGCCCCTATAGTCGTAAGATCCTCTTTGTTCATCGCTTCAAGGTCCGCGGTAGTCAATAACCCGTCTCCCAGGCAGTATTTCCACTGCATCCCCTCCTTGAACCTCTCCCAGCTACCTTGAGCCGCATCTATGACTTTCTTCACCTCCTGATGGTGGCTGTGGAGGACATACTAAAGGATGCGTTGAAACTTTACAACATCCAACCGCCCCACCAAAGCTTGTTCCACACGTAGGCGTGGGTTTGGCTTGGATTTCGCGTGGGTATGGCGTGGGTTTGGGCTACTAGTGGGCGTTACTAGTACCTCAAACGCATGGGTTACTAGTGGGTGTTACTAGTAACCAAAACCCACGCCCAACCCATGCCAAACCCACGCCAAACCCCCGCCCACTAGTAACCTGAACCCACACCAAACCCACCTAGTAGCCCAACCCCACGCCAAACCCACGCCAAACCCACGCCCACTAGTAACCCAAACCCATGGGTTTGGCATGGTTTTGGCATGGGTTTGGCGTGGTCTTGGCAAGGTTTGGCGTGGGTTTGGCGTGGGTTTGGGTTACTAGTGGGCGTTACTAGTAACCCAAACCCATGGTTTACTAGTGGGCGTGGGTTTGGGTTACTAGTGGGCAATACTAGTAACTTAAGTCCATGGGTTACTAGAGGGCGTGGGTTTGGGTTACTAGAGGGCGTTAATAGTTACCCAAACCAACACCAAACCCAGGATCAACCCACGCCAAACCCACGCCAAACCCACGCCACACCCACGCCAAACCAACGTTGCTAGTAACCCAACCCCCACGCCCATTAGTAACCCACACCAACTTGTAACCCAAACCGACGCCAAACCCACGCCAAACCCACGCCTAACCCACGCCAAACCCACGACAAACCCACGCTAAACCCATGCCAAACCCACGCCAAACGCACGCCAGACCCATGCCAAACCCACGCGAAACCCACGCGAAACCCACGCCAAACCAACGCCCACTAGTAACCTATGAGTTTGGGTTACTAGAAACGCACACGAGTCACCCAAACCCACGCCCACTAGTAACCTAAACCCACGCCAAACCATGCCAAACCCACGCAAAACCCACACCAAACCCACTCCAAACTCACGCCAAAGCCATGCCAAACCCACGCCAAACCCACGCCCACTAAAAACCCATGGGTTTGGCGTGGGTTTGGCATGGACTTGGGGTGGGTTTAGCGTTGGTCTGGTGTGGGTTTGGCATGGGTTTGGCGTGGGTTTCAGTTACGAGTGGGCGTGGCTGTGGGTTACTAGTGGGCGTTACTACTAACCCAAAACCATGGGTTACTAGTGGGCGTGGGTTGGCGTGGGTTTGGTGTGGGTTTGGGTTACTAGTGGGCGTGGGATTCGCGTGGGTTTGGAGTGGGTTTGGCGTGGTTTTCGCGTGGTTTTGGCGAGGGTTTGGTGTGGGGTTTGGGTGGGTTTGGCGTGGGTTTGGCATGGGTTTGGGTTACTAATAACTACCACCAGTAACCCAAACCCACGCCAAACTCACGCCAAACCTTCGCCAAACCCACACCAAAGCCCACGCCAAATCCACGCCAAACTCACGCCAAACCCACGTCCACTAGTAACCCTTGGGTTTGGGTTACAAGTAACGCCCACTAGTAACCTAAACACACGCCCAACCCACGTTAAACCCACGCCCACTAGTAACCCAAACCCACACCAAACCCACCTAGTAACCCAAACGCACGCCAAACCCACGCCAAGCCCACGCCCACTACTAACCCAAACCCATTGGTTGGGCGTAGTTTTGGCGAGGGTTTGGTGTGGGTTCGGGTTACTAGTGAGTGTGGATTTGACATGGGTTTTGCGTGCGTTTGGCGTGGGTCTGGCATGGGTTTGGCGTGGGTTTGGCATGGGTTTGGTGTGGGTTTGGCGTGGGTTCGGGTTACTAGTGGGCGTGGGTTTGGGTTACTAGTGGGCGTGGGTTTGGGTTACTAGTGGGCGTGCGTTTGGGTAACTAGTGGCCGTGGTTATGGGTTACTAGTGGGCGTGGGCTTAGCGTAGGTTTGGGTTACTCGTGGGCGTGGGTTTGGCGTGGGTTTGGCTTGGGTTTGGGTAACTAGTGGGTGTTACTAGTAATCCAAACCCATGGGTTACTAATGGGCGTGGGTTTCGCGTAGGTTTGCGTTACTTCTGGTCCTGGGTTTGGGTTACTAGTGGGCGTGGGTTTGGAAACCCACGACAAACCCATGCCAAACCCATGCCAAACCCACGCCAAACCCACGCCAAACCCACGTCAAACCCATGCCCACTAGTAACCCATGGGTTTGGGTTACCACTGGGCGTGGGTTTGGCATGGGTTTGGCGTGGGTTTCCAAACCCACGCCCACTAGTAACCCACGGTTTAGGCGTGGGTTTGGCTTGGGTTTCCAAACCCATGCCCACTAGTAACGCACTCCAAACCCACGTCCACTAGTAACCCAAACCCATGGGTTACTCGTGGGCGTGGGTTTAACGTGGGTTTGGAGTGGGTTTGGCGTGGGTTTGACGTGGGTTTGGCGTGGGTTTGGTGTGGGTTTTGGGTTACTAGTGGGCGTGGGTTTGGCGTGGGTTTGGCATGGGTTTGGTGTGGGTTTGGCGTGGCTTTGGTATACTAGTGGGTTACTAGTCACGCCCACTAGTAACCCACGCCAAACCCATGCCAACCCCATGCCAAACCCACGCCAAACCCACGCCAAACCCACGCCAAACCCAAACCCATGCCAAACCCACTCCCGGTACTAACCCAAACCTACGCCAAACCCACGCCAAACCCACGCCCACCAGTAACCCACGGGTTTAGGTTACTGGTAACGCGCACTAGTAACCCAAACCCACGCCCACTAGTAACCCAAACCCACGCCCACTAGTAACCCAAACCCACGCCCAGTAGTAACCCAAGCCGACACCAAACCCACGCCAAACCCACGCCAAACCCACTGCAAGCCGACGCCAAACCTACGCCCACTTGAAACCCATGCCAAACCCACTCCAAACCCATTCCAAACCCATGCCAAACCGACTCCAAACCCAAACACAAACCAAACCCACGCCAAACCCACTCCAAACCCACTCCAAACCCACGCCAAACCCACGCCAAACCCACGCCAAACCCACTCCAAACCCACTCCAAACCCACTTTAAACCCACTAGTTCGCGTAAGTTTGGCGTGGGTTTCCAAACCCGCGCCCACTAGTAACCCATCGGTTTGGGTTACAAGGAACGCCCGCTCCAAACCCAAAGGTTACTAGTGGGCGTGGGTTTGGAAACCCACGCCAAACCCACGCCAAACCCACGCCAAACCCACACCAGACCCCACTCCAAACCCACACCGAACCCATTTCAAACCCACACCAAACCCACACCAAGCCCACGCCAAACCCACGGCAAACCCATGGGTTTCTGTTACTAGTTTGCGTGGGTTTGGTGTTGGTTTGGCGTGGGTTTGGCGTGGGTTTGGCCTGGGTTTGGCGTGGGTTTGGCGTGGGTTTGGGTTACTAGTGGGCGTGGGCCTGGCCTGGGTTTTGCGTGGGTTTGGCATGGGTTTGGCGTCGGTTTGGGTTACTAGTGGGCGTTACTAGTAACCCAAACCCATGGGTTACTAGAGGGCGTGGGTTTGGAAACCCACGCCAAACCCACGCTCAGCCCACGCCAAACCCACGCCAAACCCACGCCAAGCCCACGCCAAACCCACGCCAAACCCTCGCCAAGCCCACGCCAAACCCATGGGTTTCGGTTACTAGTGGGCGTGGGAAGGGCGTGGGTTTGCGTTACTAGTGGGCGTGGGTTTGGGTTACTAGTGGGCGTAGGTTTGGGTTACTAATGGCCGTGGGTTTAGGTTACTAGTGGCCGTGGGTTTGGGTTACTAGTGGGCGTTACGAGTAACCCAAACCCATGGGTTTGGCGAGTGTTCG